ATGACTCGTGGTCTTCTCTCTCGTTCCCGAGATTAATTTACTTCCGCTGCTGCGAATCGTGACTTCCATACTTCACGAGCTTCGTGTATTAAGACGAGGACTCCTCGTTTGTTTATTGTCCATAGCTCGTGCCACCATCCGTGGATCTGGTCAATTTTAAAGTCATGCCTAAAGAAAATCTGTAGCCGCATAGTGGGGAGTTGGTTCGAGAAGAGCCCAGTCAAAGGTTGGTTGGAGCCGAAGAGTTCATTTCGAATTAATTCCCGATCCCAAGCGTCTTATTCCTCCCCATCTTATTGACGTCCGCGGAATCCGAGGAATCCACTGATTGAATATCCAGGGCTCTTCCTCCCTCCCCCGTTTCGGCGCAACCCAGTCATCTTTTCGTGCTTCCCTTGGCCAATTGTACAGTTATATCGCCGGAGATTCGCCAGAGACGAAATGAGAGAGAGAGAGAGAGCAAAGTTTGATAAATGTTCGTGCGCGCGATACGGGGGTGGTTGTACATTTGTAAGCTATACTTGTATCCCGGGGGATTTTCGCGCGCGCGTGTATTTATGGAAGAGCGTAGAAATATCATTCCTATTGGGCCTAATTCGATTTCGCCGTCAGTCTATCAGGCGTTGAAATGAGATCAAAGGGAGGGAGGAAGAGGGCGGAGGAATGACGAGCCGTCTCTTGCTCGGTCCCTCGATGTTTTTCATTAATCGTGCAGGGCGCGCGAGGCGTGCGGGAGACGGCCTCTTCGCTTTCGATTAATATTTTATTATTTCGAGTCGAGTCTCCTTTCCGCTCCTCGAGATGCGTTTCATGGGATATACATGCTGGATATTGATCCGCAAAATCAGCTTTCGGCCGTTGCACGGGAAAATTTTCGGTCTTGAATCGTCTCTAAATGTCTGTTGGTTTAATGGAATCGACTAGATTTTCGTGAAATGATTAAAGTGTTATAGATAAGCAGTGATAATCCATTTTTTCTTGGTGAGATGAGTGACTGGTTTTTAAACTCGGTACGGAAAACACAGAGTCACTTCAGATAAATTTGCAAATGAAATTAAAGAAAACGAGTACTCCTTGGTGAATAAATGTGTAGCCTAATCAAAATAAAAACTTGCAAGTGGACGTGAAAGGCAATAAAATAATTTTGACTGTGTGTACATTGAGCTTCATAAAAGGGTGTCGGGTGTACGGCCACTGTACCAGCTCGTGACGACGGCTCATTACATTTATGCAACTCGATGCGAGAAAACCCTATTATCCTCGAATAACGAGTGCGGCAGCGTTGCTCTCTCGGCTCTTCTCTCTTGTGAAAGGGTTGGATAAAAAGAGGGAGACCGGGCGAGAATGAGTAAGGGAGTTTCGCCTTTATTAGTGTAACTAAGAAGCACAAATCGTTAACGAATAACAAACAAAGTTGATATAATCTCAAGTTGAATTTTTCACGCTTTCAAGTAATTTTGTTTTAAGGCCATGCTCAAATGTAGTAGTTGATGAGGTGAGCTCAGCAGCTTTTATGCTTTATCCACGAAAGTTGAGCCTTTTGTTTCACTGTGAGCTAATTTTATAATTTTACCGAGTAAACCATATTTTGTTCGAGATTGCGAAAAAATGATCAAAAATAGGGATCACGTACTCTATGTCTATTATGCAACTTTTTAAAATTACCAGACAATTAATTTTAATGAATCCAGCTGCGGTAATTGGAAAGAAAATACGAGGAAGACCACATAGTGAAAGATGAAAGTAGAAGGGAAATACATTTCTTGTTCAACACCAGATAAGTTTTAAAAACTTTTAAAGAGATGTGGAAAAACAAGGGAAATAATGTAGGAAAACAATAGTGATAAAAGGAGAAAACGTTGAGAGAATGAATTGGCGAACGAAGAGTAAAGTGTCTATAAAAACTGGAAAAAGTGGATGTGGTCAAGAAAAAACGTGATTATAATGACAAATGATAGTAGTTAATCTGCAAAAGTTTTAGATAAGTTGAACTGGGGGGAGTTGACGTATAGACTTTCCGTTAGTATTAACGTCCAACTATCGAATCGATGAGGAATAGGGGTAAGTGTACCTATCTCCGTGCTCTGCCCTATTACCGTGGATTTTGAAAAACTGATGATTACTTGCTCAAAATAAGAAATGTTTCATATAAAATAATTAGTATTTAAATTTTTCCATTTTATGGGGATTGGTAATTGCTCTACTGTTTCAATTTGTATTTCTTGTGCTTTGGATTCAGTGCTTAATCACTTGCATTTTTTAAAGATTTAATTCACGTGAGATAAAATTATACTGGTCCAGTATAGCAACAAGAGCACGTACGGAGATATTGATCATTACATGAACATAAAAAATTTCTTACGTAATGATTTTATTTTGGATGAGTCCTCTTGATTAACATTTTAATGGACATGTTGCTGGTTAAATTGGCTATGCTATATTCTGCTCAGATTTTTGACACTCTGATTGTCTGGGTCTTTCAGATTTAATTGCGTAATCTCAATCGTTGGTTGGAAGTTTGTTAGTACGAACGTAGATTTTCTTGTTGTCAATATTTTTTACATCAAGATAATTAGAATTCTCTTGTGCTTGTATTTTCAATCATTTTTTTCTCAACAATATTATTACCTGCATTCAAGGGTATAAGCCTGTATTCTGGCATAGGATATGAGATTAGGACTCATGATAACTCGACCCACTCTACGGTTCAAACCAACTCATCGAAACAGAGGGCATACTTGTCTTTGATTTTGTCTCATTATACGTATGCGCTTAAAAATCATTGGAATGACCAAAAAAGATCCATCCCTTTGTTTCAAACCCTTTCTTTGTCACTCCCCACCGTCATCGGACCCCAACATACCAATGCGCGCACAAATTTGTCTTCTCCCTCTCTATTGCCGCAACAGCCTTTGTTCCCTCGAAATAATAATTGTCGTCGCTGTCGTCGTCATTATAATCGATACGCGCTATGCCGACGATGCTTTTGACTTTCTCGTCTCTTACCCGCATAAACACACACGACAGACAAGAGAGAGAGAGGAGAGGAGAGATAACGGGGGCTCATACCTGGAACACTGATGGGACGCTGCTTTGTCGACGATTATTACACACTGCCTGGCACTCTGTCCCGTACCTACGATGTGTACAATGATGGAATGACAAAGCAACGCGGATTTGATCGGATAATCGCGCGCAAGTATATACCTCTGCTCGCGCAATTGGCGATGGTGACACTTTTCCTTGGAGCCAAAGGGTTGGCTTACCCGACAAGACTAGGATTCTTTCTGCTGCGCAGAGCTGGTATACAATAACGATACATTCGTTTGAAACGAACTCGGTGGGCACGAAAGGAGAAAAGAAAGAGTGCCCACTGAAAGGGGACGAAAAAAGGAGAGTTAAGGAGGGGGAGGCTTATTTGACTCTTAATTGACTCCGGGTGGTAATTAAAATTTAATCATCTCCCGAAATGAAGTTATCGGGCCTCACGCGACGAGAGTCGTTCGAGCGTCTTCTCGGCCAAATCAAACACAGTCGCCTAATTGACGTCCCGGGCCGAGCGAGGCGCGCGAAATGAAATTTGTCTTGGCAAAACTCCCTCGTATACCAAACTGAGAGAGAGAGAGAGAGGCTCGGTCGATGACTAAATTGCAGTAGCCCTGTACCTGAACCACCACCACTGCCGAGGAGAATGTTTAAATTCGGTGTATACTTTATTAGTTTTCCGCTCGAAAGATTTTTTCACGGATGATATTTCTTTCAAAAGTTACCACAAATTGTGAATCTTCGAGTTTGGGCACATAGGCGAAGAATAATACTCATCACCAATGCATAAAAAGAGAACCAAGCGAGCACACGAAAGAAAGAAGCCACAGAGGGAAGAAAGGGTGCGGGGGAGGGGGCTTTCATTCTCTTTAGCGCCGCGGCGTATAACTTATAGCTCGTGGACCCAGTATTTCTCTGCGGCTCTTTAAAAGCATTTTCTCATTAAAAAATTAAAGGAGGGGTGACTGCGAAAACGCGACGCGCAATGGGCTCTCCCGACTCGGGGGAGAAGAATGGGGGGGGGGTGGTAAGTGCTCCGCGGGGCTCCCAGATGCGCCCAATATTATGTTTAATGATATTAACTTCTTACCTAATGGGCCGCGGTTCGATTTGAGGTGCGAAGAAGGAGCTCCCCGGGAAAAAAAAGTATACCCTCGAGTGTAATTTTTGTGGAGAGGAGAGTAGAAAAAAAAGAAGTGTGGGGGGAGGGGGTACAGCCACGAGCGGAATAAGAAAGTGGGCGCCCGAAGTTTTCTTTCGATCCTTCTTGTGAAAGTCGCCGGGGAGAGCCGTCCTCGGATTTCAAGTAAATTGCCCGGTCTGGATGACTAGGGGGGTATCCGGTGAACTGAGTCGACTCGAGACACCGTAGCTCGTGTGCGAGAGGTGATTGTGGAGATGAAATACCACATGCAACTCTTAACGTCTCACCTGAATGAGCTCTGGTAATCATTTCCATAGACTTTACCTTCCTCATTGTATATATTCGACGGACCAATCGCGTCTTGGGATCAATAAACCCAAGTTATCGCGCGTCTTTGCTCCCCTTCCCCCGGTGGCCGGGGGGTAATTTATAATTAAAGCTTAGAGCGAGTGTAGTCGAGTCGTTATTTTTGTGCGCGCGTCGGCGAGTCTTCTGAATAATTCATGGCTGTGAGTTTTCCCTCATCGTATTTTAGCGGGGCGCAGCCGACGCAGCGATCTCGTGTCTCCATGGGTGTTGCGCGAGGAAAGCTCCTCGATGTATAATTGATCGCCGTGGCCGTCGGTAGAATTATTATTATCCAGAAATTATGCGGACGAATGAGCCCCCCGCCCACGTCGTCGAGCTGTACGTTGTGTTGGACCTCCGCGAAGACTCTTTTTCTGCGGTCGTTCTATGATTTTACGTGGGTGGGTGTCGCCTGAGCCCGAGGAGACTGGGACTGATCGCACGTGTGTTTTCTCTGTTGCAGATTAAGGGACGAGCGAGGCGACTCGGAAAGGGCCCTCGCGCTCGACCACAAACAACGGGACCACAGCTCGCACAATGGTAAGTTTTTTTCACTATTATGTTTCTATGTGTTTTTTGATGCTAACATGCCCAACAGTCGAGATTTGGGCACAATCATTTCGTGGGTTTACAAACGTTTTAAAAATAATTATTTCTTCCTGATTAATGAGTTGTTTTTTTTAAATTTTTTCAGTCACTATTAATATTTTAAAAAACTTTTACAAACGCTTTGATTTTTTTTATTCTCTAAATTGATGTTTCCTTGGAATTAGAATGCATTTTATTTTTGCTGAAAGAAAGCTTGGATTGTAAGGATTGTAGCAAAAAATTACACATGATGCACCCGAATGTAAAGTATCCAAATTACGTGATGCGCTAACATCGGAAAATAAAGTCAGTTTGGATAGCCGATTGAACTTAAATTCAGATTAAATTCCGCTCATCGCGCCATCGCTCGATCGGATCATTATACCATTTATTTCCGAAAAAAAGCTCGAACCCGCGCCCAAAACCTACCTCGCGCGCCTCCATCCTCATTAGCCAGCCGATAACTCACGAAATCACTCCGCTGCGTGGCGCCCCCCCCCCCTCCGGAGCCGGGACTCCTCAAGCGCCTAACGTTTTAATCACGATAGCTCTCGACCCCCTTTGCCCCGAGTGAAACCCAGCACCGCCAACTTCTCGGTTGTACATCCAGCAAATAAATCCAAGCCGATTCGAAAAAGTATAGACCGCTCAGACGGCAAAAACCGAGGAAAGCACCGGTCGGCGGGGGGCGATGCGTCACTCGTCCCGAGGCTGGCCAAACAGAATTCATCCACGTCAGGATTAAAATGCTCGGGCGTATCAAATAGTGCGGTTTGCCTACCCCTCTCCTCGCCCCGCTCTCAACCGGAGAGAGAGAAAAGACAAATTAGGGAGAGTGAAAATCAACGCATCCCCGTGATTTGTATGTCCACTGGGACACTTATCCGACGAAGCTTTACTGCGTTTTGGCTTTTTTTTGTTGTTTTTTTAATTGCTTGGATTGTTTGAGTTATTATCCATAACCAAGCCGAGCTGGATAAAAAGCGCGTCGTGTGCACGTGGTATTTCAACAAAACGTGGAGTAAAAATTTCGTGGCACAAAAAAAAAGGGACGTATCCCACACAACCAAAACAGTACACAGCGAGGGCAAACGCATTTAGGCTCCAAACGAAAACTGACGCGTCGAAGGGGGCGGGAGAAGGATGGCTCGTGGTCAAATAAGATCCATCATCTTGTCAACCGGAAAAGGCGAGCCCTGCCCAGGGGGAGAACACACAATATCGGGGACTACATCTTTGCCGACTTATCTTGGCGTTTCGACGATTTTTCAGCGGTTTCGCGGCTATTCTTACCATTTACCATGAAAGATCGATGCGACCGGTCCACAGACACGCGTCTCCTCTACTACCATTTTGTACGTATCCCTTTTTCCATCTCTCGCCCAACGAATCGATCCGACTTTCTGGAACCAATAATGGAACTCTACGAAATAAAAAAAAAAAGGGTTATTGTGGGAGGGGACGGGTGAAAAATGGCTCGTTCAAAATCGGAATTGTTGCAGGTTCCTCAAACGGGCACAGTCCAGTGCTGAACCTGTCGAAAACGGCCGGCAGCGGCAGCGTGGGCGAGCACTCCGGCAGCGAGGCCGGGGCGTCGCACCGCTCGCAAGACGACGACGAGGAAGAGGACAACCTGTCCGAGGACCTCGAGGACGAAACCGAGAAGGACGAAGGTATGTACATCCCTGTATTGCTGTGCATTGTTAAATGTATATATAAATAACTCTCAGGGTGTTCAAAAGAGTGAAGAAGGGATGGGGGGGCGGGGGGAAAGAAAAAAGTATGACTGCAGCAAACAGCTGTCACTCCCTGCATAACTGATCGACTCTCGTGCGGTCGATCATCCCAGGATCCATCGGCCTCGCTGACAAATCACTCCCCGGTCCCACCCAACGGGCCAAGCCAATTAAACGATTCGTGCGTGTATAATTACCCCCGCTAATTAGACGAACCCTCCCCCCCCTCGGAACAGCACCGATACACATATAAAAAGACACGCTCAAGTGTGGAGAGGAGGGAGAGCGTGTATATATACACACATTGAGAAATAAGCTGATGGGTAATCTCGACCTTTTCTCTCATTCTCGTCTCGCGAGATAATTACGCCGCTGATGCTCGCGAGCGACGGCCCCGAGCCAGGGCTCATCGATCATCCCGGCGCTGAACGACTTTGGGTCCGATTGGCCCGTCCCCCCCTCGTTCTCCCTTTCCTTGATCATCGCGCTTGTCCCCCCACTATCTATATGTCCACGTGGACACCCGAGACTCTACTCGCGTACCGATGCGTGTCTCCTTTTTATATATACCCTACTCTTCGGAAAACGATCGCTCGAAGCATACACGTATAGGTGCACGATGACAAATCAAGTCGCCTCGGAGACGACAAATTTCAACTTGGCTGAAGGGGGGGGGGGAAGAGACAAACATCCCGTAAGAGGAGTCTGCTAAAATTTGCCCCGAAAAAATAAAAGCGAGCGTGCCCGCTCCCAAAGTTCGTGCTCATGTCGCGCAGCGTGTCGTAATGCGCATCGGCCCATCTTTCCCCCGTTTACCTACATATACATATATACTTTGGCTGAGCTTCGCTCTCTTTAACTCTCATACATATATACTTACACCGTTGGTATACATATATATTTAGTAACTTGGTCATATGTGTATACATAGTATTGGAGCGTAAACTGCACCGAGAAGAGTAAAAGAAGGCTGCGCTTTTGCGCCCGTGGGAGTCTACACGCTCACGGAATGCCGTTCTGATTTAATGAGAGGAGCCTCCGTACGTGTATATATATATACGTACACGTCGATTGCCGATTCTATTGGGCGCTGGCTACCGATGCCCTTCCCCTTGTTTTACCCTTCTTTCACTTACTTCGGGACTGTGTATTGTGTTTGTGTGTGAGTGTACGGCCAGTGGGTAGGTGTGCACGTGGTGCATGGGAGTCCATGTAAAGCTCAGGTGTTTGGGAAAAAGAGGGAATGTGGGGGGGGGGGGTGTCCGATGGCTGGAGGTGGATAGGCGATAAGGACCGGAGAGAGGCGCATAAAGTAGAGGCGAGAGGTATGCCGTCGGAGGATCGACGTATTGTGCGCCTTTCCGATGCTTTTTGCTTCCGACCATTCGTTGGCAGTCCGTGCTGTGGTCGATGAGCTGCTGACGGATTTTCATTGGGAGACTAGCGCGACGTGACACGAATCGCATGCATATTTATAACGCAAGGTTCAGTCGTTGACGAGTTTTAGGAGTAAACAAGTGATTCCGCAAATGATTTCTGATGAGGAAAACTTGAAAAATAAAGGTTTCACGCTCAGTTTTTTTTTTGCACATTCCTCAGAGCTATTGTGATTCGATACTGAAATGTTTCTACCTTTGTCTCTTACCGTAGAACTTAGAGATAAAAAAAATCCGCGTAATCGCTCGAAAACCTATATAAATCCATCCAAGTTCCGTTTATCTTCCCGTACAGCTTGTCCCTTGCGCCGTATCGAAATAAGGAACGAATCCGCGCGCGACGCATCTACACAAGACAGCTGTCAATGAAATTAATCCCCGCGTCGCGACTCCGCGAGCGCACAGTATATACAAGACTCGATGTTTAATTCACCCCCTCCCACCCGTCGCCTACACACCCCGCGATTCCATGTTAACGTCGAGAAACAACTAGTCCATTCGTACAATTAAAAAAGCCAGTCCGTCCAACGGAAGCTCGGCGGCGACACGCGCGTGTATCCAGTTTTCTCTCTCTCTCTCTTTCCAGTATATGCGTCAGCCCTCGACTCGCCCGACACGTCCGCCCGGGGGTCTCCGAGAGACACATTACACGCGATTTGGGGACCTCCCCGGGCGAGAAAAGTTATGCCCGACCGCGTGTGTGGGTTTCGCTCTCCTAAGTGGTCTCCCTCTGCTACGTGTGTGTGTGTGTATATGTGCGTTGTACACACCAATGCGTGTATACATACACCGTGTAATCGGCTGCAGACAAACCGATGGCGACCGCAAAAAGACTCGGCTCGCCCGAGCTTTAAGAGAGAGAGAGAGAGAGGGAAAGAGGCGCCTGGTTTACGGCCGTCGATAGGTGGTTTATTGTATCGTCTTTTAATTATCAGCGCCCCGCTCGCTTCTACACGTATATACGTATGTATATGTATATACACACCGAGGGTACAACGATACGGCATTCGGTTAACTTACGGCCCCCCCTTACCACCGCCCCTCCCCCATCTCTCTCCCTCCTGCTCTTACGGCCCGGCCGATTTAATGTTCGCGCCCTCGAGAGACTGATTCGACGGCACCTCTTTGATAAGAAGCCCGGCCAGGGGGGGGGGCAGTGGTCGGCGTATCGTGCGTTCCATTACAATTATCGCGGACAATAAAGTGAAAGTCCGAGAAAGCGCGCGCGCGAGCGCTTGGGACACCCCGGCGACGACGCTGTTTATTTATCCGTGCGAATTGGTGACGGGGGGAGGGGGGGCGAGATGGTTCGCGCAAAGTGTCTGGGAACACTTTTGTTTCGGCTGTCCTCTCGTATGTCTGTACAGGCATTGTGCGGTTTTTTAGTGCACGGTCGTTATTGGTTGTTGCTATGCTTTTGTTGGATCGTAGTTGTCGAATTTGGAACTTTGGTGATAATTGACACATAGACAACACAAATAGTGATAAGTTTGATAATCCATGAAAATAGAATTGAGATAGAAATTGATTAGATGACAGCCATGTGTGATCTCAATCTTACCTACAAGAAAACTCTCTCTCTTCATTGTGATTGAAAAAAACTACATCTCTGACTCATCTGAAATCGGATAAGGTTACTAAATAATACTATAGATCTTTTGAGCATAACAACTATACTCTTTTACATCTGCTGGGTCATCCTTTTTTGTTCATAACTGGACCCGGAAGCTGTTAGCTCTTTCAACTCATGCGTCTTCATTTATGCAGTTAAATGTATATAGCACTAGCATGATTTAGCTTTATATTTGGATGTACAAGTATAATTCTAATGAGAAAGTTATTGAGTAAATCTTATTTAAGCGGTCAAATCGAACATTTTTTTTTACATCAAAATTAGCGTAAAATGAGACAAGGGAGCGAGCACTTTAACTCGTAAAATGTTGAACTAGATGCTATTTAAAATTTTCTGTTGAAACCAATAAACACTACATCCAAGTTTTCAAAACAAGTGCAATGTTTATTGATAAGAAATGCAGAGCTTAAGATTTTACACAGAGTTGACAACCTTAGCAGCAAGAGTTGTGTGGGCTCAATTTTTCGGAATTTAGATACTCATAATCAATTCATCCATTTGTTATTTAAGAGTTAAACTGTGTGACGTTAACTGCTTTGGGTTTAAAAGCTTATGTTACTAATCATTTGTTCTCTCATAGTTAGAAAATTGGTTTTAGTTGAAAAATTCATCGATACTTTGATTCATGTAGATTTTTAACAAACATTATAATCTCCAGGGTTACTTGGTTTTGTTGGGTTCAAAAGCTTGTTCAAAGATGTCTACTGCAATGAAACAAGTAATACCTATAGTCTCAACGCTTGCGATGCTCCGTACACGTCATCTGAAACTGAAAAACAATCATAATTATTGTAAAAAAAAAAACTTGCTTGTACACACAGATAGGAACGAAGGAGAGCCGCAGGTATATAATGTACATTTACGTGTAACTCTTTGCCCGCGGACGAGACAGAATATTCGCGTGTGCACGCAAACCTCCTTTGAAAATGGCAAGTTTTACGAATATATAATGAAAAACGAGCTCGTACGGCCCTTCCAACAACAATAACAACGAGGCCCGCGCGCTCATACGTTTGCGAGAGACTTACGAGTCGTGCGTGTCTCGAGGCTGTAAAGCTCGAAAATCTACTTGTTGCCCATCGTCAGCCTCCCCCACCCCCTTGTCTCCCTTGCGTTGATTTAGCCTCGTCGCAATCGAATTAAATGCCCCGCGAATATCAAGCGCGCATTTGCACGTGTGCACACTAAACCCACACTCTGTAAGTATGGTGCCGATTGGCAACGACAGTCTGCTTTACTTGTAGTTTCTTTTTTTTTTNTATCTATAAGTACTGCGCGCGTACTTTTCATATCGAAAATGTATCGGATTATATTCGGTCGTTATGGATAATTTTTTTAATTTTTTTTTTTGTATTTTTTGGCGTTTTTTCCAATTAAAAATTTTTTTTTTTTTTTTTTTTTTTTTTTTTTTTTTTTTTTTTTTTTTTTTTTTTTTTTTTTTCAACTCGTCGCAATTTATTTATTGGTGACATCTCGACATGACTATTTATGCAATCAATACAAACTCCCTGTTTTGTGACTCATTTCTGTGGACCATTTTTTCGGTTAGCGATTTTTTTTTAATACAATACGGTACGCTCCTTTGCGATCGCACGAGCTGTGGATACTTGAAGATGATCAAGGATCGTTGTACAATTATGTATATAAGTATGTTTGAAATAAAAATGAGCTCAGTACTTGACGTAATTATCATGAAATCGAAACCAAACACTACAAGGTTGATTGAAATTAAAACTGAACGCATGGATTAATCTCCAAATATATCGATATGGATTCCCCAAAAAAAAAGCAACCTCTTATTCCTCAAATTAAAAAAAAAAAAAAAAAACACTAAATTCTTGTTGTTGCAGAACTGATGGACGCGTCAGAGAACCTGCCGCTGACGGCGCCGGGCTCGGAGAGTCCGCCCCAAGCGCTGAACTACTCGCAGATAGCGTCCGCCGCAGCGGCAGCGGCAGCCGTGGCGGTAGTGTCGCAAGCCGGCTCGGGTGCCGGCGGTGGAGGTGGTGTCAGCGGTGGGACCGGCAACGGTGGCAGCGTTGTTGGCGCAGCCACGATAGGTGTCCCAGAGCCAGGCGCGGTATCCAGCACGGAGACCCTGCTGCGGAACATACAGGGCTTGCTCAAGGTGGCCGCGGACAATGCGCGCCAGCAGGAGAAACAGATCAACTACGAGAAAGGTCAGTGGCAGGGCTTTTTAAAGTCACTCGAGGGCGCACTGCAAAACTACATTATCTACCAGCTCGCCTTACAGAATTACATTAGGAGGCATTGAGGAGGAGGAGGAGGAGGGCGTTTGCGTGTCTCTGATGTATGTCTGTCTGTCTGTTTGTGATGGGTGTGTACATTTTTGGGGCTTCTGAAGTGTAAATATACATACTTTGGGTGCAAGGTGGATTAGGAGAGGCTTAGAGAATTTTCTTTGTTGTACGGTAGGTTTTCTAGCGCCGCTCCTACCCAAAGATTTACGTGCTTTTTTATTCACTGACTCTCGAGGAAATTTTTTTTTTTTTTTTTTTAAGCATCCCTCTAGATCTACATCCGACTCTATGGCAATGATAATAGTATACTTTCACTGTGCACAGTCACTGTGTCAATTACCAAATTCCTCTTTTAGTTGATTACAAACATTTGATATTCCGATTATCCCTCCCTTTTGTCACGCTCAATTTTATCTATCCTACGGCGTTTGTGATTATTACAAATATATACATCCATCATGACATTATTATACATTTGCTTCTAGACTATTGTAAAACATCAAAAGCTTTAACTGAATACTCGATTTGTAATATATGTTACGATACTTTGAATGAATAAACCAATAGTTGAAAATTCACGTATATAAGTACAATATTAACTAATACTTACTAACTACGCACTAAGAAACATATACATACTTCTTAGTTTGTGATTTGAAGGAATGTTACTTCTCTTTTCGAAATATGTATATACTATATATTAATAAGTAGGTATGCCAAGTTAGTCTTTAAAAACCAATTGTGTAGTCTATACTGTCTCATTAAAAAACGTAGAATACATTGTTGGGTTTCCTGCGTATAAACTAATAGTTTGGAGGCTTCGAGTGTTTGTAAAATTTATGTATTATTTCAATGTAAACCAAGTAACCATAATCGAATTATAATCGTAATTAATTTTCGTAGCTGCGCCCTGTTTCTCGGTGTATGAGACAGTGGGTTTTGGGGGTTACGATATTTAAATTCTAACCTATAGTTGAATTATACGAAACATTAACGGAATCTGTACAGAACCTTTCATAATTTTCAGTAATAAGTACATCGCTAGAATAATTAATTAACTTATACTCGTAGAATATAATGCGTAGGACTTAGTTGATTTTTTTTCTTCAGTGTGACTCACTTACCCTTAAACAGTATGACTTGAATCTCGATGTAAATCTCGTTCACATTCGAAATTAACAACATAACCTCGATTGAGCTGATGAAATCAGTCATTTTCGTATTAATACTAAATGTATGAGGGTGTTCATGTAGTTGTGTGTATTGAAAATTGAAAGCGAGATAACGACGAAAAACAGAGAGAGAGAGAAACAAGAAATAACTTTAGTACAATTTTATTTAGGAAAATCAACTGTAGAGTAAAAAACGAGGATCGCAAACGCGCTAATTAATATAGTCATGAGAATTGTTTTATATAGCATAATAATCTCTTGGAAGAGGATTTTTGACTCTTGAGTGGAGTTGGTAATTTTGTGAATAATCTACCAACTAGCACCGTCGAAATAATATTTATCAGCGTTGGTTACTATACACCATTAGTGATTAGTAATTACAAATAGATGAAACTAGCGAAATTTTGCGATCTTACGAGTAACTATGGACTTATAAATGTTTAACGCTTGTATTTAAACTCGTATATTTAAACCATGATATTATAAATTATAAATAAATATATATATATATATACATATATGAGAGCGTAATATCTCAATGCCGATAAATAAAATATGATTGAAAAGTGAGTTTCAAATAAAAATCAATTGTAAAGCATAAAAATAAACAGATCTGATTCAATGTTCAAGCAGAAGCAAGTGCAACGGTTTTTCTTTTGTTCGAAATTTCGAAATAAATACGGCCCAAACCTCCTTAACCTATATTTGTTGACTTTCTACTGCTCGAACATGTCAGCTTTTAATTTCATATTTTCCAAATTCATTTTTATGTATTTTATTTTTAATTGGTCAATAGCTGATTCGATGTGACGAGTAACGATAAAAATCAAATTTCAAACAGGTAAATTTTGATTTTTTTTATTTTTTCTTTTCCTCCAACTTTATTCGACAGTTGAGCTTTCTTTTCTCACTCTCTGTTTTTCGAATAAACGATTCGATACAGTACTATATTTTACAAAATTTCATTCTTATTTTTTTTTGTCTTTGTTCTTATTTATAACATTATGATTTACTATTTCTTTTAAAACTATAATCTATTGATAAAAAAATATTCAAAATCACGAAGACCGGATCGGCCATTAGTACTTATAAGGAAACTTATTGTGAAGGTTATTTGTGATTTTAAAAAATTAGTCCAATTTTGTCGGGTAAGAAATCTCATAGTAGCAATTTATATTCCATCTTTTTTACTCAATAGTTCGCAAGTATAGTTTTTCCTTACTTATAATGGCACTTAATAATAACTAAACACGCTTCTGAAAAGATTTTTTTTTTTTTTAGTCATGTTTAAAGTAATTATTGGTGATAAATCTGAATCTGCCATCTCACCATAGAATCACCCCGTCACGTGAAAACTTTAAGCTGTTCTTATCTAAACAGCTTGTTTTTGACATTCTCACAACTAAAACAATACAAGAATATAAAGAGCCACGGAAAACGTGATAATGCTATATTTTTTAACGTTCAGTGTACGGAATGACATACAACTGGCATGAAAAAAAAGAAAATTATTTCGTTGCGTAAAATCAATGTTTGTATTTATTCTTATTTTACTAAACGATTTGCGCTTCCCAAAATTCTTAAATTTACATTTGTGTGGTCATTTTCAATGAATATTCAGTTTGATGATTCATAACGATAGACCATAAACGATGTATTATTTTCAAAAAAATTAATGTTTCGTTACGGAAAATTATCACATTTGATTATTCGTGTTCGTGAAATACAACATCACATATTTAATATTTTTTAAAATCGTTTCTCTATATCCTCTATATTTGGATGTATTAGCTCATAGTTTTTCTTGGATAACGCAGAGCTTGCTGATAACTAAATAATAACAGAAATGAAAAATTGTTGTCCGATTTGCCCCAGTTCTATTCGATTTCTAATGATCTGAAGTGATGTATCCTAGTGCAGAAACCAAGATATTTAGAAAACTTGACGCGATAGGGTAGTTTTGTGTCCAGATTTGAATTCCGTGCAAAGAATCACCCACATGCGGCTGTTCGTCATACATTGAACAAATAAATCGACGACACGTTCGATCGCAACTACAATCATAATACCGCAAGGGCACCGAAGAAAGGAGGGATCGAGTGAGGACCGAGGGACAAAAGAGAAGAAGAGCCATGAGGGCAGAAAATAAAGAAAGACAGACGGAGAGAGACCGGGCCCGATTTAATACTCGAACGGGCAAAAGCCCGCAGCTCGTTTTACACGTATATGTATGTGCGTGGCGGGGCATCACGCTATCGTGTTACGTTTGCCATCGCGAATGGGAATCAGGGGGACGGGGCTCCTCTGTCTGTATTCCACCACTGTCTTATCGAGACAGATTCCTTTCGTCTTCTCGACCCTTCCTCCCTTTCGCGTTTGCTTCATTTTTTCATGTTAGGTGTGCGACGAAATAAGTTTATACATTTATAAATGGCAAGCCGATATCCCGCTGGCATATTATCGATAAGTTGTATTAAGGGTCTTTGTCGGTCTTGGGCTTTTCTGGGTATTTTCTCTAATTTTTTTTCTCGTTTTTCAATGCACCAGCTTTGCTTCATGTTTTTCTTTTCCCTGCTTTTGTTTTCGGGTCTTAGGTGCGTAATAACATCTTTCGTGACAATCTTACTGTTCTTTTTAAATGCGTAGCTAGTGTCGTGTGTTACACCTCCAAGGTTTTCTTTGGTTGTGGTTGCTGAGAAATTCGGTTCTGTAAAAGTATGAGATGCGTACGGTTAATAAGAGATTATTGTAATCAGACTTAGGTCCCTTTTTGAAAACATTTTTTTTTCTCAAAGTGATTCTCTTTACTTATTCAAATATTTTGACTCTTATTACTTTTTACAAACAGTTTTTCTTTCAAATCGTACTACAAATTTCGCTATAAAAAATTGTGATAAGAACTCTGTTTTTAGTAGAACAATAATTTAAAAAAAAATAAAAAAATTGTTCGATAAACTAATACGGTACATTTTCAGTAAAAATTATTTTACAAAACAATTTCAAAAGTATCTGAGCCCAAGTCATTTTATATAGGTTTCTTGATACTCAATCGAGCAATTCTTTATTTACATGTTTAAATAAATCGGAAGGTTCTAGCTTTTAAAAGTTTGATAAATATTTTGAAGAATTAGTAAGGCGTAACGTTAATGTTTTATAGATAAAGTACTCTGTAAATAATATTTGGTTAATACATCAATAATTCTTTACGTATACAAGGGTGTTCTGAAAAGTTTTACATTTTTTATTACTTTTACGAGAAAAATAAAGCAATTGGTCATTGGGTTATTGGTGTTACGTGGATTTCTCGGTGTGGGAATATTGTGGTCTGGATTTTTTAACACCAATAAAATTTTATTAATTTTTGTTTAATATAGTTTAGAATATATTTTCATTTTCAAAAATCACTTTATAAATTTCTTCGTATATAACAATCCACGTCATTAGCTTCGACTACAGTAAAATCACAGTTGTTAAGAGATATGAATCACTGTTTTTTTTTACACTCAATCGTGTTAAGATACACAAAATTTAAAAACTAAACCTATGTTTCACTAACTATACTACTAGTTGTACTAAATTGAACACTTTTCAACAGGTACGATCAACATACAGAATTACAGAAAGGTTTTGGAGCTCAAAATGTTACGTGACATAAATGTTTTACTATTTAAAGTTTTTCTTTTAGCACATTTTTGAAGAAAAAAAAAAGTACACAACTTGAGTATTCTGTATTACACCAGACCCGTA